GCCTTCGATGTGGGAATCACTTGTCCTCCCAAGGTGTGGGAGTTCCTGCCGCTCAGCGGGATGCAAACCCTCCACTGGAGTTCAGTGATTCAAAACAATGCATCTTTTTTTGGTCCAAAGCCCCTGTTTCTTGGAACGACCTTATCAACTCTATTCAGCTAAGTCCTATACTAGCAAATGACATGTTCTTGACTTTTCATTTGCTATGAAAATATAAATAAAATATTCCACGGCCATTGTAGAGTGTGAAATCGACTTTGCAGTTTTATCGATGTACACACCGTTTATTCTGAGTCAGTACTGCCAGTTATACACGAATCCATGCACTTTTGAAAAAGGTAATTTTTTCTTTTCTTTTCTTTTTTCTTTTTTCTTTCTTTTTTTTTTTTTTTTTGGTACCAGGGATTGAACTCGGGTCCTTGTGCTTGCGAGGCAGGTAGTGGAACCACTGAGCTAAATTCCCCAGGCCTGAAAAAGGTAATTTTAATTTTTTTTATGTACCTAAATTTTATTTTATTTATTCATTTTTGGTACGGGGGTGGAGATCGAACTCGGATCCTTGCGCTTGCAAGGCAGGTGGCAGAACCACTGAGCTAAATCCCCAGCCCATTTGTTTGCTTCTTGAGACAGGGCCTAGCTATGTAGTTCAGGCTGTGCTTGAAATCACTGTATAGTCAAGACTATCCTTGAACTCATAATCCTCCTGCCTCAGCCTCCCGAGTGCTAGGATTATAGGCATGTGCCGCCACAACCAGCTTAAAACTTTCGATGTTAACATGACTTCTTATTCATTCATGACAGGAAGAACTTTTCATTTTCTCAATGCATTCTGACAGAGACCACCAGAACCACGCATTCAGCCCATTGCTGGATATGCTGGGTTAGCCCAACACGGATGCCCACACACCACGGCGGACTGCAGAATGTGTTTGTCAGTCAGTCTTTAAAAAGACATGGTGTCAGATCTGGACTTGGGTAATTTGGATGAGCACAGGGGAGGCAAGGCTGTGCTCTGGACTGGATGATCTCAGGTCACGAGCATGATTCTGTGATTCAGAATCCTGAGAAGCCAGGCCAGGTGGTGTGGTGTGGTGGCAGGCACGCCCGTCATCCCAGCACTCGGGAGGCTGAGGCAGGAGAATCCTTGTGAGTTCAAGCCCAGCCTGGACTACATATTGGGTTCAAGTCCAGCCTGAATCTTCATAGCAAGACCCTTTCTCAAACAAGGAGAAAAATCCTCAGATGGAGTTGACTAACACTAATTGGAAGAGGAAACAGCAGTGGGTCATATTAGAAAGAGGAGGAATGGTCATTTTGCTGTTTGGAATTTGCTTTTTGTTAGCCTTTTAGAGACATGAGATATTCTCTCTCTCCCACCCCCACCCCGCTCATTTTGTTTGTGATTTTTGGTACTGGGGATCAAACTCAGGACCTTGCGCTTGTGAGGCAGGCGGTGGCACCACTGAGCTAAATCCTCAGCCCTCTCTCATTTTTTTTTTTATTTTTTGAAACAAGGTCTCACTATGTATTCCAGACTGCCCTCCAACTCGTGATGATCTCATGGAGATCTTCCTGCCTCAGCCTCCCAAGTGCTGAGATTACCCTGTCACCACCCCTGGCTCGGAGCTCTTTTTACGTCTCAACCCATTGGGCTCCCTAAATAGCCATGTCCTGTCAATTCAATGGAATTGTTTCTCTTTAGTAGAAGAGACCTGCCCAGCCCTCCAGTTTTATGGGGGTATTTCTGTGTTTCTCACTTATTATTTAAATACTAAAACATTCCTTGGTACTGTAGCGGCAAAGTACCAGCCAGAACGAACAGACAGGTAGTCCGGGAGAATGCAAGACCGCCAGCAGAAGTCTTGGAGGCAAAGTGTACAGTTTTATTTTTAATACCAGCGGGTCGGTCTAGGACTTCTCCACAGAGAGACCAACGTCCCTTTGGGGAAGAGCAGGGCAGGTTATACTCTTGGGAGGGGCCGGGCTTGCAGGAGTTAAACACTTTGCATTGGTTTATGTAGAGCACAAGTCCCCCGTTATGTGGTGTTACAGACAGCAGGAGGAGGGCACAGAGCCACATCTCGTTTACATTTGGCAGGGAGATAGAAGTAATAAAACTGAGAACAGTTTATTGTTGTTTGTTTTGTTTTGGGTACTGGGGATCGAACTCGGATCTTTGCGCTTGCGAGGCAGGAGCGGAACCACTGAGCTACATCCCTGGCCAATTTTGGCTTTAACTGTTTAGAAATACGTTCCCAGTTCGGTATGTCTCAGACCAACAACCGTATCTAATTGTTTTCTAGAAAGCGGCACAGTTAACCCAATCCTTTTTGGTTCTTTCTATATTTAGGTAACTGAATTTAAATGTTTGAACAGCGGAAGGAGGGCTCACGGCCCAGCCTTTCTTGGATTTGAACTGATGGTAGGAAATATCCTCTAAGCTTATGCCTGACCAGAGGCTTCTGGAATACGTGAGTTTATTCCAGGCCCCAGAGGCCAGATCTTTGGAGATGCTGTGGATTTAGAACTAAAGCCACATCCAGTCCCCCATGTGTCCCGACCCACAGGCATCTGCATCACCGGCTCAGAGAGCTCATCTTGAGGTCATTCTCAGCTCTGAACATCCCATCCCACCCCATTTCAGGGGCCCAAGGTACAGCTCCGTGCTATGGTACTGTGGTGGGCTCCAGGCTCTTTAGCCTGCTCGACATAGGAGTCCATGAGAGGCCAGGAAGTTTCAAGACGAAGCTTTTATCAAATTCTTCTCCAAGGGTTGGGGATTTAGCTCAGTGGCACCGCACCTGCCTCACTAGCACAAGGATCCGAATTCGATCCCTGGTATGGAAAAAAAAAAAAGAAAGAGACAGAGTTTCTCTCCAGATGAAAAGGGAAGTGGAGATGGCAGGGAGACCTCAACTATTTCCCTTAGGATAGTTTGGGGGTTGCTTTTTAAGGAAGTTGAGGTGGAAAAAGACCAGTTCTGACACTTCCAAAATGAGTGATGTTAAAGTCAGCTCATAGCAAATGAAACTACAGCCTTTGTACACCAGTGGGACAGAAAGCTGTCACGAAGGGACTGTGACGGCTCTGACAGACTGCCTGACATCTGAGTTGATTCTGGGAGCTCACTGAGGGCATCTTATGGGATAAGGCTTTTCCTCGGTTATTTTTTCCCCTTGTCTTTGTTCATCCCTCAAATTCGGGACCTAAGCCAGGTCTGTGATCCCAGCAGTCAAGAGGCTGAGGCAGGAGGATCGCCTTGGGCTTGAGGACAGCTTGGTTTACATAGTGATGTGAAGGCCGGCCTGGAATACATGGATAGCGAGATCCTGTCTCAAATAAATTAGTTAATGCATGAGGGAGGGAAACCAGACATTTGGCTGAACGCTCAGAAGAGCGGAAGCAGAACAGCTTCCAAAGGGGCCAGAAAGCAGAAACCAGGCAACATCTGGCAAGTCTCTTTCTCTCTCTCTTTTTTTTTTATACTGGGGATCGAACTCAGGACTTTGCAATTGCAAGGCAGGAGTGGTGCCTCTGAGCCACATCCCCAGCCTTGGCAAATCTCTTTAATCATTTTTCAAACATCTTAGGCAGGAATGGCTAGACTCTGATCTGGGGGCCGGGTTGTTTTTAAGAGCCTGTGGGTGAAGGGCTGGAGATTTAGCTCAGTGGTGTGGGGCCTGAATTCGATCCCCAGTGAGGGAAAGGCACAGATACGGTACTTGACCTTAGAAGTAAAAGTACCATTGTATTTACTTATTTATTTTGGTACCAGGGATCGAACTCGGGCCCTTGTGCTTGCGAGGCAGGAGGAGGAACCACTGAGCTAAATCCCCGGCCCTCTGCTATACAATTTAAAATGGTACCGGGTGGGGGATTTAGCTCAGTGGTTCCTCCTCCTGCCTCGCAAGCACAAGGGCCCGAGTTCAATCCCGGCACCAAAAAAAAAACAAAACAAAACAAAACAAAATCGCACAGCAGAGTACAAGAGGCAACCAAAGCCAGTGAGTATGATTAGAGGCTCCTATTTCTTTTAAATGGCTCTCTGGGCATAGGCCACAGGAAATTTTTTGTTTTGTTTTTTGTTTTGTTGTTGTTGTTGTTGTTTGAGACAGGGTCTCACTATGTAGTTCAGACTGACCTGGAACTCACTATATAGCCCAGGCTGGTCTCGAACTCACAGCGATCCTCCTGCCTCAGCCTCCCAAGTGCTGGGATTACAGGAGTGTGCCACCACGCCCGGCTCTGTTTTGTTCTGGTTTTATTTTTCTGTTTTGGAATCCGGGAAAAATATATTTGAAATCAGTGAATTTAGTCATTTTGTCTGTAAATGGATGGCGCTTGTCAATGCTGATTTCAGCCTTCTGTGTGGAAGTACCTGGCAAAAGGGCCCCTGTAGTACCTTTTTTTTTTTTTCCCTGGGTTAACATCACAGCGGATTTGCATTGTCCTTGGTGCATAAACAATTCCCACCCGTGAACGACTCAAGATTTTCCAGCAACTGAACTGTTCGGTCAGGGTCAAACTGACTCAAAGCAAATTTATTGGGTTTTGTTGTTGTGGTTTTGTACCGGGGATCGAACCCGGGACCTTGTGCCTGTGTGGCAGACAGCAGAACCACTGAACTAAATCCCCGGCCCTCAAGACAAATTTACTGTTTTGGTAGAGTCGCTTTCCAGCTGGAAGCTCAGGGAGGGCAGCGTGGGTGTCTATGCCCTGGGGGGCAGCCACCATGTCCGCACTGTGGTCTCAGGAGGCGCCAGACCTTAATCCTTCCACCCTGGGCTTCCCAAAGCCATCCCAAATCCACGAGGGCGGACCCATGGGGAGCTCGAACCGCAGTCTAGTCTACGTAGCCCTCTTGCCGTACCCAGCGGAAATCGAAAAGCAGATGTGAAGGCTGGGGAGTAGGGGCTCCCACGGATCCCTTTCTAGCGCCCTCTAGCGCAGACGTCCAGCCCACTACGGGCCCTCTCGACTTTGCGCCTGCGCACTCGCGAGCTCTGCAATCCCAGGTGGCTCTGGGGCAGGGCGCGCGGCCTGGCGGGAGGAGTAGAGCTGTAGCTCCGAGCTCCTGAGCCTGCCATTTCCCTCAGGCCCCGAGGCAGCGTCGGGCAGGAAGCACGCATGCGCCAAGACGGATGGCTCCGTACTTTAGCGTGTGAGGTCGCTGTGAGGTGAAGAGTTGGAACGAGGTGGGCAGTACATCCGCGGGCCTGAGTGAGTATGTGAGAACCCCGTGGGGAGACCCAGGGACAGAGAGCGTGCTTACGTCTGAGGCAGGCCGCACCAGACACATTGGTGACGTCGCTGGTGCCATTGAGGCTGCTGTGTGTGCTGGGCCGTGCTTGTGAGTGTCCACCTAACGTGGATTCCTCTTCTGCCGCCTCTGTGCCTCACACCCAAGGTTGTCTGTCTCAGGCCAAGTGCAAAACCCTAATACGAAACCCTAATAAGCCGGCTGTGGTAGGGCGCACCTATAATCCCAGAACTCGGGAAGGCTGAGCTAAGAGGATCGCCATGAGTTTGAGGCCTGCCTGGGCTACATAGTGAGTTCAAGGACAGCCTGGACAACATAGCAAGACCCTGTCTCAAAAAAAAAAAAGAGTATCTTGAAAAATGTGATACTGGTGCACAAAGGTTAGGACGCCCCTATTAGAATCCACTGAGAAGTGGATCTGTATGCATACCTCTTGCAGGCAGAAGTCAACCTGTATCTATGATGGGACCAACAATCAGGTAAGTGAAGCAAAGCCCCCATGTATACTTTCAGTCCTGGCTCTTATTTATTTTTTGCCTATTGGATATTGAATTTAGGTCCTTCGCACTGAGCTGCATCCCCAGCACTTTTTTTTTTTAACTTTGAGACACAGTCTTGCCAAGTTACTAAATGCTCAACGTCCTCCTGTCTCAGCCTCCCGGAGTCCTGAGATAACAGTCACAGGCTACTGCACCCAGCAGTAGTGGCTCTAAACCTGAGTGATATCTGCTTCCTTCCCAGGTGTCGCAAAGTTAGACTATGACAGAACCATAATGGGAAAGAATTCTCAAATTGACAGAATCTACCAGGAGAACCATCGACAACTCCATATTGTATTGTCATCTCACAGATCTCTTAATTCAAAATTCATTTTCCAAGTTGCCATTAGAAGCAAAGGCATCTTCTGCTGGTTGGCAAAGGGGAAAAGACAAAAATAAGGACTCCCCTGATGATGAACTTTGCATATTTACAAATTTTGATCGGCGATTTATTAACAAGGGAAGATTACTTTGACCAAATGAAAGGAAAAGTTGGGTCGGGGATTTAGCTCAGTGCTTCCGGCACCTGCCTCGCAAGCACAAGGATCTGAGTTCAATTCCTGGTATCAAAAAAGAAAGAAAGGAAAAGTTATTTTCTTACCAACAGTGGGATCTGGGTGAATATGAGGAAGTGGTATTCTGTATTTGTTACACTAAACAGCTAAAAAAAAAAAAACTCCAACATCTACCAAAATGACATGTTTCCATGACTCCTTACAAAACAATTAAAAATGCATAAAATTTAGGGCTACTTATATAATGAAAATATACTTCAAATCATTTGAGGATCCAACAGATTCACAAAGATGACATTTTATTAATTACATGAAACAACACCATTAAAGTTTCTGTAATATTGCTCATACTTTGGATAATTGCTCCTTGACTCCATGGCTGTTTGAAAACTAAACTAGAAATCCATTGCCTATGGGTCCACTATAAAAATGAAGTACTGATAAAAAGCAGTAGCCTGTTTATAACTTGTATATGATTTCATCTCAATCAGCACTTGAGCCCAAGCGAAGGTGTGAACTCAAAGGAAAAAGTACTGATCTTCGAGCCTGACCCCAATAAGGTGAGTGCTGTAGGATACCAAAATTGTTGATGTTGTTGTTGGGAAAAATGAAAAGGGCAGAAGGATCCCAGAACATCTGATTCCATTTAATGGTTGGCACAGAAGCTGGGATAAATGAGCAGCGGAAATTCCTGTGCTTCATGATTCAGACAGAAATCCCCGATGTCGGTGTCGGTGTCGGTTAGCAGGAAAAGCCGAGCAGCAAACAAACAAACAAAGGAAATGTTAGAAAGAATGATAACTATAGACATCCCTGAAGTTCTAAAGAAACAACTTGAAGAGGATTGTTACAATGTTAACAGGAGGAAGAGGTTAGTGAGACTCCCCTGTCAGACCAACATCCTAACTATTTTGCAGTCCTATGTGAGGCATTTTGCCATCAATGTAGCCTCTTCGGCCAAGGAGAGGCCTCCGCACCAGCACCCTGTGGCACACACCACTGTGCACGAGCATTATATTTCAGCGGAAAACAACATTGCCCTGTGTAAGGAGATGGTGGATGGGCTGAGAATCACCTTTGATTTTTCTCTCCCGCTGCTCCTGCTCTACCCATGCGAACAGGCACAGTATAAAAAGATGACTTCAGCTAAATCTTTCATCCCAATTAAGAAAAGCGCTGCAGACACGAATAGGAGCCCGGAAGTGCTTCCTCCCAGCCCGTCTTCATTGACTCTTTCCGCACCGCAGGCCACAGAGGGTCAGCCATGCACCAACGAGCCCATCACTCCCGAGAGGCACAGAGCGCAGTCGGAAGCACTGCAGTCCCTGCGGCGGTCCACACGTCAGCGCACCCACTGCGACAGCCCGTCCCAGGGCAGCACCTGGCCTCAGCCCGTGTGCCAGCAGCAGGACGTGTCTGCCAGCAGGCCCAGCCTGTCCCCGCATCTGGAAAAGAAGACACCTGTGCATAGCATCTCACCTTCCTGCACCCCTCTGACCCCTAGTGAGGAAGGGAGCCCTGTGTTTGCTGGCTTTGAAGGAAAGACGGAGATAAACGAGGTCCTCTCCTGGAAGCTTGTGCCTGATGATTACCCTCCCGGTGACCAGCCACCTCCACCCTCTTACATTTACGGGGCACAGCATTTGCTGCGACTGTTCATAAAACTTCCAGAAATCCTGGGAAAGGTGTCCTTTTCTGAGAGGAATCTGAAGCCTTTACTGAAGCACTTTGATCTCTTCCTGCAATTCTTAGCCGAAAACCAAGCGGACTTCTTCCCAGAGTCGGCCTATGTCACTGCCTGCAAGGCTCACTGCAGCACCAAGAGCCCCAGGGCAACTGATTAAAGACTGGTGGTTCTGTATAACTGCTGCTCTGCTGGCTTTGTGTCCCAGAGACTACAAATCCCAGGCCCACCCTGGAGTCTCCAGTGGAGGCGGCTCTCTCATTTGAGTTGTTAAAAATTACTTCCTGGGGAGCCAGGGATGTAGCTCAGTGGCACCACACCTGCCCGGCAAGTTCAAGGTCCTTACCCTCCACTCATGGATGAAGCCACTCATGAGATCATAACGTGCTTGTCTTAAACAAACAGGATTATTTCCTGGGTACCCGAACATGCTCTGACGTAACCCTTGCTATTGCACAGGACATCTGTGATGGCAGACAGTGAATAGAAGTGTTGATCTTGGGGCGAGGGATTTAGCTCAGTGGTGCTGCCACCTGCCTTGCTTGCAAGCACAAGGTCCTGAGTTCGATCACTGGTACCAAAAAAAAGAAAGAAAAGAAAGAAAGAAATGTTCATCATGAAACACCATGAAAGTAGGCTTTTTGGTATTCATTGCAGTTAGTTGTTACTGAGAACTACATTGTTTAGTTATTTGTTAGCACAGAAAAATTCATTTTTGAGACAGAATCTTGCCATGTAGTTGAGACTGGTCTTGAACTCGCTAACCCAGGCTGACCTCGAACTCACAGCAAATCTCCTGCCTCAGCCTTCCTAGAGCCAGGGTTACACACATGCACCACTGCACCTGGCTGAGCAAAATATTTTTGCAAACTATTTTTATTCTTGTGGCGAGCCTGAATTACTCAGAGCAGTTCATTTTAGTTTATACAGGGAAGCCACAAAGAAATCCCAGTGTCTTTTAGAAGGAATCAATATTGATGGCAAGAGAAGATGTCCAGTTTATACATTTAGAGTTTCCTCTGTGAAGCCTTGTTTTGGGGACTTAACACGTTACCTGTCTTGTTTGAGATTTTATAGCTATACTTTGTTGGGTAATTAACGGTTTTCTTTCTATAAAGTGCTATTTTTGGTCATTAATTGAAAAAGATTTCTGGTTTGAATTTTGCGGACCATTGTACATTCATTCCCTTCCACCTCTCTGACACTGCTTACCTCTGTAGGCCTTCTATCCAAGATGAGCCCTTACATTACCTTAAAAGCAATTACTTTCATTGCAAGCTTTCTTGTACTTTCCACATGTGTGGGGTTTGCAAGTTTTTGTAACTAGGGGACCAGTTGAAGACGCTGCCACTCTACTTGTATTGATAGGTTTCCCCTGTGCTCACACACTTTGTAAAGGTGAGGGCCAACGCTGCGCTTCCTCACACTGCTCCTGTTTTTCAGTTTTCCCTCTGGGACACAGGTCACGTAGACTTCCCACCGTATCATACCTAGGTGCGTGAGGTGCTCTCCAGTGGGAAGCTGTTCATATCTTCGAAAGGAACTGAACAACCTAACGTTTGGCCACATTGCTGGCTCTGTTAGTTTTTCATCTCTGGGACAAAATGCCTGAAAAGATCGACTTAAACAAGGAGAGATTGTGTTGTAGCTCACGGATGGTTTCAGAACTCCCAGGCCATGGTTGGCCAGCTCAGGACGGACCTGAGGAGGGGCGGCAGTGCCATGGTGGCAGGACGTGGGGGGCTGCTCACCCCAGGACAGAGAAGAGGCAAAGAGATGGGAGGGGGCGAGATTCAGTCCCCAAGATTTCACTCCCGTGCTGCTCCCTTCGACCACTTCCCGTCAGGCGAGCACGTTACGATGTCTTGATGACAACTAAGACCGTGACGCTGCCCTCCGTGGTGTGTCTATCCGGCCAGGCTTTCTCCCTGTCTTGGAAAGGAATGTGTAACTGCAGTCGCCCATATCCATATGTTTACGTGGCTTTTGGGGGCAGAGTCGTGACTGCCCTCAGCTTGGTGACTTCTCTCCCTGTAGGTGGGGATGCAGGTATGGGTGGGAACATCAGGCTTTTCCCCCCTGGAGTAACGCCCAGGATGGGACGCTGCAGGAAAGCCGGGGGTCCTGCAGAGTCAGGGGTCATTCTGGGGCATGAGGTCACCTGCGCATCTGTGTTCTTTAAGAATAAAACCACTGCAGGATGTGATGGCGCACCCTGTAATCCCAGCACTCAGGAGGCTGAGGCAGGAGGATCTGCCAGTTCGAGGCCAGCCTGGGCTCCACAGTAAGTTTGAGGCCGGCCGAACTTCATAAGGGGACCCTCACAAGGACCCAAGTTCGACCCCTGGTACCATAAATAAATAAAATAAGGGGACCTAACAAAACCACTTAGCAGTGGTGTGACCACATGTGCTCATGGCAGACCTAAGGAAGTCCCACACAGCCCTTCCCATCCCGCACAGCTGGTGTGGGCAGCAGGACACCGGTGTCTCAGGAGGATCGCTGTGAGTTCGAGACCAGCCTGGGCTACATAGTGAGTTCCAGGTCAGCCTCAACTACATAGTGAGACCCTGTCTCAAAAAAACCAAAATAAATAAATAATAATAAATAAAAGGAGCCAGGGATTTAACTCAGTGGTGCTGCTGCCTGCCTGGCAAGTGCAAGGTCCTGAGTTTGATCCCCAGTATCTAAATAAACAAATAAAAATAAAAAGGGCTGGGAGGGCCAGAGACTTATCTCTGGTTCCGCCGCGTGCCTTGCAAGCACAAGTTCTCATGTTCGATCCCCAGTACCAAAAGAAAAAAAAAAAAAGTTGTTACACTTTGTGCTGGGGATTTAACTCAGTGCTTCCGCCACCTGCCTCACAAGCACAAGGACCTGAATTCGATCCCCGGTACCAAAGGGGGTGGGGCTGGGGATGTAACTCAGTGCAAAGACCCTGGGTTCAAGTTCCAGTGTTACAAACAAAACAAAACAGCAACAACATAAGTCTTATATAACAAAACACACATCATATACCGGCAGGGTACAAAACAGGATATTCGTGGTTTATTGCAAAAGCATAAAATACTAAAGTATCAGGGATTCCTACCAAGGTAGAGGCTCTCAGAAAGCAGTACAGTACCACACTTGGCATGGTAGGAAGCGCTTGCCACCCCAGTGCTTGGGAGGCTGAGCCAGGAGGATCACCATGAGTTCAAGACCAATCTGAACTACACAGCGACACTCCGGCTCAAAAAGCCAAAATAGCGCCGGGGATTTAGCTCAGTGGCACCTCGCCTGCCTCGCAAGTGCCAAGTCCTGAGTTTGATCTCCAGTACAAAAAAAAAAGCAGTACCATACTGATCACTGAGTGATCTTTCTCCTACTTTGCTACTTTGAGGTTTCGTGTACAAGTGAAATGTTATATTTAAGTCTCCCACATTCTCTACATAAATAAGGTTTGTCTCCGGTGAAAGCGTCTCCATTTCCTGCAAGGCTTTTAGGGTGAGTGACTGCTTCTCCACACGGCTGGATTCTTTTTTACTTTTTCCTTTTGGAGACTGGGTCATGCTATATAGTCCAGGCTGGCCTTAAACTTGCAGCAATCCTCCTCCCTCAGCCTCCTGAGTGCCCGGATGACAGGCGTGCGCCACCACTCCCAGCACGTTCTTAGCGTTTCTGAAAGCCCTCAGGAATCGCCGTCCTGCGAGCCTACGCTGGGAACAGCGCCACTTTGAACGCTTTGCGCACGCGCGGAAGTGGGGGTTGGGGGGCTGTCTAGGAGGTATGCGCGCTTGCGCAGTAGCGCTCAAGGGCTGGCAGCAGCTGACCGCCCGTCTTCCTCCATCAGCTGCTTTCAAAGCCCTGTCAAATGCGCTTAAATTCCTAATCTAAGAGCTCAGCTATTGCCGTTGATTTTCACAGTTTTCTCTCTTTTATTTTCCTGCAACACTGGGGATGGAACCCAGGGCCTTGCCACTGAGTTATATCCCCAGTCCCTTTTCATTTATTTATTTATATTTATTTAGAGACAGGGTCTCACTAAGTTGCTGGATTCCACAGGCTGGGCTTGAACTTGGCGATCCTCCTGCCTCAGCCTCCCAGAGCGCTGCAGTGACAGGCGTGTGCCGCCATGTCTGGCTCACCATGTTTCTTACTTATGGGGTTCTTTCTTCTGATAGTGTTGTTAACCAAATTCAGGGGGGGATTGTTTGTTTGTCTTGGTTTTGGTCTGTTTTGGTATAGGGGATCGAACTCGGGACCTTGTGCTTGCAAGGCAGGCAGTGGGACCACTGAGCTAAATCCACAGCCCAACCAAATTCTGTTTCAGGCCCTACCAACATCCCTCTGGGAGGACACACTGCCTTGAAGATGGCCTTTCACTTTCTTTGAGCTCTTCCCACACTGCTGAGACCTGGGACTCTGCTGCGGCCACTCAGGCCTGACCTGGAGGCCACAGTCATCTCCAGAGCTATCAAGTCCCCAGTTTTCTCCAAAATCGGCCCAGGAATGGCTTCTGGTGACTTTTACAACTTTATTATCATTGGATTGTTCATTCTCCAAGGTGGGCTGCTGAAGACATGGTCCTCCAGTTTTATCCCCAATGCAGGATCTGTGACAATTAGTGACACAATTGATTTCTTAGGAAAGACGTGGTGAGGTGAAGAAAAGGCCACAGGCCCCACATGCACCTCTTTTCAAGTGTACTGACCCCAAAATGCAATCACATTGTATGAGGTGTGATCAAAGTAGATGGTGAATATTTAAACTTGAAAAAAATTGATTACAGTAAGACACATCGCCACTAATTCCCCTTAAAGCCCTCCCTCTGGCTTCCAGCACCCTAAACCTTCTGTTGCTTTCTGAAGCAGCTCTGGAGTCCTCTTTCCTACGAGTCTTTACAAGGTGCGATCAAAAATACCACAACGACTGCCGCCAAACTCCACCGAATGGAACGGCAGCTTGTACATACATGAAGGTGTCCTCCTCCGCCTCATTCACCAGATCTGGCAACCTGAGACTTCTGACTCCTCCCCAAAGTCAAACTGACCATGAAAAGGAAACATTTTGAAATAAACTGGGTTTCCCAGCAGCCATCTGGCCTTGTCAAAGAGGATTCACTGTGGTGCAGCTCTCACAAGTGGATTAATCCACTCGTGAATCCCTGCTGTTAGGAGGTGCAGTCTGGTGGGAGAAGGCAGGTCCCTGGGGGCATGGCCGGGCAGGGTGGCTCTCGCTGTCCAGCTCTTCCCTTCTTTCTGCTGCCTGAGCAATGTGTCCTCAGCAGCTTCCTCCGAAGGCCGCTGCTTTTTTCTTTTGTTTTTTTGATTTTTTGACACAGGGTCTCACTATGTAGTCGAGACTGACCTGGAACTCACTGCGTAGCCCAGGCTGGTCTCGAACTCACAGCGATCCTCCTGCCTCAGCCTCCGGAGTGCTGGGATTACAGGCGTGCGCCACCACGCCCGGCTCTTTTATTATTTATTGGGTTTCAAGAGCTGCACTAAGAATAGCAAGATGTGGCAAGCACTGTGGGTGAACGTCTAGGGCTATTTGATTCAGATCCCTGCCCGCCTTGGAAAGCAACAGTCTCGGTGTTCCGGTTGAGATCTAATGTCCCCAAAGTATCAGCGAAAAGTGTCCCGGGGCTCCTGCGCGGCCTGGCCATACCCACAAAATAGACCCCCCTCCATCATCTCCCTAAACAGTCCCTTGAATCTCCCTCCCGTTCTGGACGGCTCTCCAAACTGGTCCCTCTCTCATTCACCACTCAGCTCCCCGCCTGCTGTT